AGAGAGAGAGATACTGTATATACCATTGAATGCCCAGAAATGGTGCCATAATGTCGACGTCGCCCGCATAGTGCAGTACCTTAAAGGGCCGGCCGTCGGGCGCCGTCCACCGCAACAGATCCCTATACTGGGGCCGCATTGTGACGTACGTCGGATCTGTGACCTTAAAGGTCTGGAAGGCGTGCCACCGGTGGACCTGATCGGGTATATGTAGGGCCCGGCGGACGTCCGGTTGGTTTATCCAGGACTCGAGTGGGCGCTCGTCGAAGCACACGGGGTGGGACGGGTCGGTCACGTTATGGCAGTCGGCGTATATGTTATACGTGTTGAGACGCGGGGTGTTTATCAGGTCTGTGGCCCTCTTTACCGGTGCCTTACACTTAGCGTTACGGGAGGCCTCGCCCTTGAAGTCACACCTATCGGCACCGCCTCCCGGAGCGCAACAGTTCGCCAATAGCTCGGCCCATAGGGCGCTGTCAATGAGGCCGTGATAGTAGGCGTAGGGTATCTGAGCGTCGTATGGGGCGTCCCAATCCCACCAACCGTTCCCCAACGCAAACGCCCGGAGCTTAATGTCTGTCCGGTTGGCCCGTATGTGGCCGGCGATCACCGACGACAGCAACGGCACCGTTAGGCTGGCGTATGACTCGCCGGCGACGTACAGGTCGCTGTCGGCCACTGCGGGGAACCGCCGGTAGAAGACCTGGAGGGCCGCGTATGTGTTGGCGACGCTCTCGTCGTCATCGGTGGTGTAGTTGCCGTCCTTCTTGTATGAGAAGCCCACACCCGCCGGCCCTTCGATGAACAGTAGGTTCGCCTCCCGATTCCACGCGCCCTCATTAGCGTATAGACCCGTACCGTCCGGCTTGACTAGTAGTGGTCCCTGTTCTGTATGGGGGTGGGGTGGGGGTAGGAAATGTGCAATAAAACAAATATTTTTATTATCAGCCATATCAAATTTTAATCATATTTGAAAACAAGCGCGTATTTTATATCCATTATCATATTTAGTTAAATTTAACGTAATTAGAGAATATATTTAAATAAATACATTAATTAGCAATTTTGCTGTTATTTATGTTGTGCAAATACAGCATGGGTTAGACTAACCGAGAAATATAGCTATTATATATTTTATAATTAGATCTACGCACAGTAGATAATTATTGTAAATTAAATAGGCTAATACGGTAAATAATTAATAATAAACAGATCCTGTGAATGCAATAGTAATTTGTTTTGTTAGATTTTAACTATAAATATTGACATAACTCAAAACTAACAATACTATGATTGCCTAACATTCATATGCGTGAAATATACTGTATATGATAAACACTGTACAATATACAGTATAACCAAAGAAATAGTTTGAAACAAATATAAAGTTAGTTTAATAGACGATATATGCCGTACCTGTGAGCGCACCCACGAGACTCGTACACCCGTTAAACCACAGCACCAGCGGGTCGTCCGTAGCGTTGCGTTGGCTCTCGAAAAACCAGTAGTGAAGGAATCGGCCGTCCGTTGCCTCCAAATACCCGTAATATTGTCTATAGTTTATGGCAAAGTCAACGCCCGGCAGGTTATGCACCTCATCATCGACGGCACTACCGGCGGCTATACGGCCAGCGATGGCACACAAACCAACACTAATTAGTATTACAAATAATAGGATTGACTTTTAAAAAATAGATAATCAACCT